GAGGACACAATGGGCGGGGTAGGCACTCGGTAACTAGTTGACATGAGTGAGGCACATGTGATGGAGGTGAGTTAGAATTAGCAATGACACAGATAAGGAGGCAGGCAGAGCAGGCAATTAGTCTTTCAGTTTGCACCAAAGAACAGGAATGAAGTCTTTCACTTGCACATATTTTTGAACTTCTATTATATAATGAATTTAGGCGTCCAAGTGAAAACAGTCCACGAATTAGAAGACATGAGTTTGATTTCTACTTCTGTTTCCCCATTTGCAGCACAGGAGAGAAAAGCAATAATAAATGGATAAGCATTCTTAAAACTGTGATGGGATATTCAAATATGAAGTACTATCTTAGTATTATGTGACATATACTGCTGCTCGAAGTACTTTCTTCTCCCTGACTGAAGCAGATTTAGGTTAATTTATCTAAAGACAAAAGCTGAGTACATTGCTAGTGTCCTCTATTTTTTAACTATAAAGGGATAGCTTTTTTATTGTTTGAATTTACTTTCTAGGACACCCTTTGAGGAAAATGATTAAATCAAATTATAATGTGGGTGGTTTTGTGGTATAGATGGAAACCCAGGAGGGGTTTATCAAAAACATGCTGCATCTGACGTCTTTCACTTCCCTAAAGAACATGTGACTAATGTCTCTAGAGAAAGTAAATGTGATTAACAGTATGACTAATGGAAGCAAGTTTCTAACAAAAATACAAGGAAAATGTAGTCTTTAAAAGGCCAAACTCATTTTGTATACCAATTAACTAAAATAAATCCAACCATATATAGGAATAGTGGGATGTCTTATTACCCATTAAATACATTTTAATATGTATACTCTACATTACTGTTTTTTATTTATTATTTATAAGAGCAAGAGAACAACATGGCAGTGTTCAATGCAAACACTACCTACATGGTCTTTGCCTCTGGTGATGTAAAATCTAAGACAAACATAAATACGATGCCCTCAGCCCCAAACCAGGTGACATAGTCCTTTGTCATAAGAAAAGGGGACATTAGGAGGATGCCAAAAATTCTCCATTCTAAGATCTGATCTTGTTTTGCTTCAGTGTATGTGAATACTGAATGATTTGGTCTTATACCGACTGGAGTCCAGGCAAAGTTAGGCTCAAAATACAAGAAGGAGTCACCCTCAATCCAGAGTTAATACTGGAAGCATTGCTATTCAGGCTGTACTTGAAGGATGATAAGTACGCTTCATTAATATTAGGAAATGGTCAACAAATTAATAATTAAAGGGAACTAAAGTTTCACATTCAGAGATCAAGCTAAACTAACTCTCTCTAATTCATTAAATGAAAATTTATAGAGCATTTAATCTAGCTTTTAAGACTGTGCCACAAATAATAGATTCTCAAGGAATCATCACTTTTTAGTTTAAGCCATCTTTATTTTTAAGTATCCTTGTTTCTGCTACTTCAGAAATGAAATAATAATTCAGAAAGCTGGATTAATGGTTTAAAATCATAAGGTTCACTCCTATTTGGGAAGACACCTGTAAAGGAGTTAGCAAACCTATAGTCTATTTTACATTCCAATATTGTCTTGGGCATTCCATAGGTGCTCAGTTAGCACAGATGGATGGATAGCCACACTTTTCCCTATGTTAGCAAATATAAAAATTTATATTCAAGTTTTTCCCATGAACTATATTCCGATGGAAAGTAATTTTGATCTCATTCTGTTGAAAGAGAATCAAAGGCCCAAAAGGAAGAGAATCTACTTTCCTGAGAGGAAAACTGAGATTAGCCAAAACTTCCCATGAAAATGGAAATGGGCCCTGTTGTGGTTATGAAACTGTTCCATTATTTCACTCTAATTTTTATAGCAATTCCACAGCTCGGTATTCTGAAGCCATATGTTGAATCTAACATGGGAAATTTAAAAGGGGCAACTGAAATAAAGTCCTATGTTAGAGCTGAAAGCCAAAAAGCAAAATAAAGCTTGTGGAGATTTGCTGGGTCACGGCTGTGAGTGACCTCATACCTCATGTTTCCTCTTCTGCTGATTTGCTCATTTTTAGTCCCCTCTTTCTTTGAGCCCAATAACCAGTTCGTTGTCTTTCATCTGGAACCTGAGAAATCGCTGGTTTTGAAATATAAGACCAAATTGTTAAGCTGAATTGAACTGAACTAAAGCGCACCGAGTGCACACACACGTGCACACACACACACACACACACACACACACACACACACACACCCCCTTCTGTGTCCTTATACATCTAAAGTGTATACAAGGCGCCACAAGTCTCTACATTATCTGTGAATGGAAAGTGAAGTTAACCAACAGACCAAATAATTTCAGGTTATCGCAGGCAGAAAAAAAAAATGTCTAGGGGGATGAAGAAGCTCTCTGTGAGAGAAAAGACTTAGGGCAAAGTTTAAAAAGGTCAGATGGAAAAAAAGAACAGGTATAAGGCATAATCTTGTGGGATTTCACAGGTTTCCAGGTCCACAGAGTGGTTATTACAGCCCATAGCACATTTTATCAGGAAAGGGACTGCATAAGGGACAGCAGGAAAAAAGTGAAAAAATTTTCAGTGAGGATGATTTGAAAGTTCTTATAAGACATATTCAGAGCCAGACTTTGAAATCTGGTGAACAATGAAAATTATACCTTTCACCAAAGAAAGCGAATGTCCCAGATTACATTATCAGTAGACAGTGGATGAGCCTCATGTGTAAGCGTGTATCTCTGTGTGTGTGTATTCGACTCTCACATAAGTTACCAGTTACACATATTAATCAAATAGCACTACCTCTCCAACCGCTTTTCTATTACCTGTCCTACTTTGTGCCAATTTCCTTTCTCCTCCCCAACACCCCTTGCTTCATGGTTCTTCTTTAAGACATGGGATGGGGATTTGTCAAAGTCAATGAGCACTTTATTACAGTGAGAACGTTCCGTAATGAACAATTCAGCAATTTAATGAGATTCTGTAGATCTGTCTCCAGCCTGTCCATCAAGTTTCACTTCTATAAAGCACCCTGACACTAATCCTCTGGCATACCCAATCTTCACCCTGGGCTGAATATTAGATTCTTCCATGGTATATTGCATTACTAGTATAACCTCAGCAAAAATGATGAACTTAACTATACTTGAGGCAATATAGCTGGTCTGATTTGATTTTTCTCTATGGGGTTGAGAATGAAGGAATTACTTATTTACTAAGATAAAGCAAAAACAGTTCTTACTGCCTGCTGAATGCCTAAATTGATCATATTTATGTGAGTCTTTAATTCTTTTTTGAGGACCAGGTTAAAAAAAAAAAAAACATTGCCTGCAGCAGAAAGCAGTTTTTAAAAATCTACATTATAATATTAATAACCTTTAGAGAGGCAATTATGATAACTCTTAAGTTTATAGTATGGGCTTTTTGGACACATAGACAATTGCACATTATCATGTTGGTCTCCGGTAGTGCCTTCAGTGGTGCCATAAGAGAGATACAAGTCACAAGGACGGTCAGCTCAGATCTCAATCCAGTTAAAAATAATTTAATGCAGAATTCATTACAAGCCTTTCTTTTTCTCTTTGGGAAGTGAAGAAAACTTTGGCTATTTCCTGCTTTGAAATGAACAGAAAATTCTGATGATTTGTATATACAGAAGAGAACCACAGATAATTAAAATTCATATCAAAAACTCACCCTCACCAACATTTTTGACCTCTGCTTGAAAAAATATCAGAAATGCCTATGAAACAGAAAAAAATATATGGCTTCCCTCCCCCCTTATATATATTTTTCCTAACAGTGGTAAAACTGGCGAGCAGGCAGGTGTCAATGGTCTCAGATGTGAAGGCTGGCTCTGCTGTATAACCCTGAGTAAGGCACTGAAGCCTCATTTTGCTCATCTGGAAGATGTGGGTGATGATAAGTTAATAAGTTTGCAAAGAACCTTTGCAATAAGTTTGCAAAGTTCATTGAAGCTCTATTACCTTTGATGCAAACAACAATGAAGAATGAAGTTGCTGATGAAAGTAAGACAAAGAAAGATAAAGGGAGAAAGGCATAAGAAAATTATTAATCAGTAAGGGATTGGATAATTAACAGCTTACTCTGACTCTGTTTTGGACAGAAATAAAAGGCTTTCTGAATGTCATTTAATAAGATGCAAGCAATTCACTGCTTCATCAGTTAACTGGAAAATTTCATATTTTTCCATTGTATTCTATATAGAAGTATTTTATATGATCATGAAATCTTGGAGGTATAACACCCTAGAAGTAACAAGATGGTTAGTCATTGCTTCAGAGAGTGGGACAGACAGTGCAAGAAGAGAGGGGGGGAAGATGGGCTCTGTTTCCCAAAGACACCACGTGGACTGTTCAAAGACAGTCACTGGGGATGAGTAGAAAAGGATTTAAATTGAATAATCAACTTGAAGACACACAAAAATCCTCCTGTCCCTTAGACAAAGGCTATTCAAAAAGAATGCTATATCAGGCGAAAAGACAGGGCTTAGGAAAATAGCAATGAATGCAGAATGAACTACAGAGAGAGATTTTTCCACTGCAAAGCAAGGAGAGATTTGTTTCATTTAAAGTCCCAGCTGTTCTCTGCTGCAACAAAAAAATGTTTCTGATTTACAGGAAAGCCCAGAATTTGTTCAGATTTCATTGGTCTTAAATGTGAGATCACTATATAGTCCATTCTTCTCATATTTAGTACACAAAGCTATTTTTATTGGGGGAGGGGTTCAATTTTAAGTCTTTTCAATGTAAGACCCGGTGAGGGGCTGAGCAGCCTCACCTGTAATACCCTAGTTAAGCTGAGGGAGCTAAGGACTCAGTCCCAGGGGCTGGCATTCTCCAAATACTTGCCCATCGAGGAGCATAACTTTAAAAACTTCAACCCAATGAGAACCAAACCAAACAAAATAGTTGTCATTGTTGCTCAGTCCTTTAACTTTTAATTTTTCCATGCCTTCTCCATGCCAGAAGAGGACCCATGCAGAATGCCCTTACCTGCCAGATCTGCTCTTCACTCAGAGAGGTCAGGCGGTCACTCTTCAGGACCTCCTGAAGCAGACAATAAGGAAGCGTTAGAACGTCTTCTGGGCGACTCTTCAGGAGTTCAGAGAGATGTTTCACTAAGAAATCGATCACTGCTTTCTCCAACAAAGTGAGGTTAAAGAGGTCAGCAAGTCTGTACAGATCCAAGTAATTAAAGCTATTTAATTCCTAGGTGCCAAAAAATAAAAATGGAAAAAAAAAAAAAAAGATCTCTTAGAATCAATCCAAGAAATAACAGGCAAGAAATTCAGATTGACTCACTAAGGTTTGCATGACAAGAGTGGGAGAAATGGGTTTGCAATCCATAAAGCTTTAAAAAATCCTCTGGGCAGAGAACAGCTGATCTAGAAGTCATCATTTTTCCTCACTTTGCCACTTGTGAAACCTGTGAACGCAGACATCTTCATAAAGGGATTGAAAGCGGATTCTAGTTTCATTGACTGAAATATTACTTTGCAAGAAGCACTTTCCCAACGTAGACAATTTTTCTTCCCTTACCTTATTTTACAGCTCTCAGGTGATCATTTTTTTTGGCTAAGATAATGTGAGGACAGGTAAAGTGAAGGTCGTGATGAGATGACACAAACCAGATGAAGAATGAAGACAGACTGATCCTACTTTTTCTCCAAAACTCCTTTGAGTAAAAACAATCCATCCTTACTTATGAAATGAAAATAAACATGTTAACATTTCAGGTCTCAAGAAAAAAAAAAATCTCACTGTGAAAAATCCTTATCCTGAATAATTCTATATTGAATCCACCTAGGATGGACAATTTATAATTGTTCTTTTTTTTTTTTTTTCTGTTAGCCTTAAGTATTTTGAAACCAATGGCAATTTCTCTCATTTTCAAAGAGTTTCAGTAGCAATGCTGCATTTCAGAGGAATTTTACCCATCTCTATGCCTCCCCACTCATAGCCAGGGCCACCAGAGGACCACGTCTCTCTTGGGAACTTTGTCACCGGAATTCTGCAAGAACCAAAAGTGGGAAGGCAGAAATGTTGGTGCAAACTTTACCTATTTCAAGTTAAATGAAAGTGGACTGTGTCCTACCTTCCCCTCATTTTTAACTTATAATCATTAATGAATGAGTAATATTTCCCAGTAACTGAGAGAATATAGAATACCATCAGAGAGTCATTTACTCTACTGATTTAAGTAATCAACATATTGTTCCCTTTTCTAGTTATTTAAGAGTATTAAGAACTCGGGCCTCCCCTGGTGGCACTGGTGGCAAGTGGTTGAACGCTGGGTTGCCAAGATGCCCGCAGCCTCTGCAGCGCCGGTTCAATCCCTGGCCGCTGGGCGAGGGTCCCACATGGCACGCAGACCTCTCCTGCTGCCCGCTGCTCCCTTCAGCAGTGTACTTCATCAGTCTGCCTGCTCTGCTCTCCCCTCTGGCTCTGGTGAATTCTCTCACCCTCCCATACACTGACTGTACCCAGTGCTTGTATAAATAAATAAATAAATGTTAAAAAAGGTATTAAGAACTCAATAAATATTTTTATTCTATTTTGATGTATTTATTTCTATACTATTTGAAAAATAAAATAATTTTTCTGAACCTGCACTATCATGGTATCCACACATCAAATGTGGCTGCCAATATTTGCCATGTGGCTTGACTACTTTGAGATGAACTATGTCTGAGACATATATCAACTGCAAGGAGTAAGAAAAATAGGATATAAAGTAAGTTTTACATAGTTTATTTGTTGAAATGATATTCTGGATCTAGTGGGTTAAATATACTATTATAATTAATTTCACCATTTCTTTTACTTTTGTTCTGATATGGCTACTAGGAAATTTTTTATCACCATGTGGCTTCCATTGTGTTTCTATTGGATCATGTTTCTATTCTAAATAAAAAATAAAAGAGAATATATGAATTGTAAAAACAGTTTTTAGAGTAACAATGGCATCATCATCACTACTTTCTGATTAATTTTTTTGGTACTTTGATACCATTTCTTTTAGCAGGAGATGCCACTTCAATTATATTCCTAACAGGAGTCAAATTAGATGACATAGAAATCAGCCATAAGAGTCCAACTCTTAATAGCTCTATTTGCCAGCACAATTGAAGAGGAGTAAATGCTTTTCTTTAAAATGAAGTTTATCACAGATGACCACTAAAATCCACTATAGCTCAAATACTAAGAGCCTACTCCTAAGCCACTTAATCAAAATACCCTGGCTTTCCATTCAGCAGGTTTTGTCAAGGGAATATTGAAGATTTATGACTCCAGCACCAATTTTTTTTAAAGATTTATTTATTTATGCACTGGGGTATAGGCCAGAGGCATGGGGGGTGGTGGGAGGATCCACCAGAGACAGAGTGGGGAAGAGAATAGGCAGATTGACTGAAATACACTGCTGAGGGGAGCAGTGGGCGAGTCAGGAGAGGTCTGCTGCCCCATGTGGGTTGCTCCCTGGCTGGAGATCGAACTTGTGCTACAGTGGCTGAGGATTGCTTCATAGGTTGTGTCTTAACCCCTTGTGCCACCAGGGAGGCCCTTCAACACCAATTTTTTAAGTAATGCTTAAAACTTTCTCCCCAAATCTTACTTTCTAGAACTGGTAAACTCTTCTCTGGGTGGAAGGAAAGTGTAACCCTTGCACATGGAGCTTCCAGAGCAAACTTTAGGACTTCAGCTTCTCAGGATGAATACATTATTTCTGATGAGTACATCTATGAAGCAAGTTTAACTGTTTCCAGGGTGGGGGGGTATGTGTGTGGGGAAGCTTAAGTACAATTTTAGTGTCCCAGAAGTGTGCTGGATGGTCTCCGGGGTGGGAGGATTGGAACAGTCTGTGTCTTTCAGGCACTCCAGACTCAGGCCCAAGGTTTGTGTGGTCCTGAGGCCTACCACAGACACCCCAAAATAAGTATGAGCAGAAATGCACAGAAGCAGAAATAACCAAACTCTACAAAGAAAAAGGTGGACATGCAGAGTTCAAGACAAAAGTTTTCTACACTTGTTCTCCTGCCCAAAACATGTGTACAACTAGAATTTGGGACCAGATTTTGTAGACGCAATCAGATATTCTTATTAAGCATCTTTATATCTTTATATGGAAATACCGAATGTCTTCCATTCAGAAGCCTGCAACTTAAATGCAGCGAATTCAAAACAATAGAGAACAAACACATCTTATAATCAGGGAAATGCAAATCAAAACCACCAGTAAGAATGGCACATATCAAAAAAACAAGCAACAACAAATGTTGGCGAGGATGTGGTGAAAAAGGAACTCTCCTACACTGTTGGTGGGAGTGCAAACTGGTCCAACCGCTATGGAAAGCTGTCTGTAGGTTCCTCAGTCTACTAAAAATGGAGCTACCATACGACCTGGCAATTCCACTCTTAGGGCTCTACCCAAAGGACACAAAAACACTGATTCAAAAGACCACCTGTACCCCTATGTTATTGCAGCACTATTTATAATATGTAAAACCTGGAAACAACTCAAATGCCCAAAAATAGATGGCTGTATTAAGAAGATGTGGTATATATACATAATGGAATATTATTCAGCAATCAAAAAAGATAAAATCATGCCATTTGCAGCAATATGGATGGAGCTAGAAGGAATTATGCTCAGTGAAATAAGCCAGAAGGAAAAAGAAAAATATTGGATGGTTTCACTTATATCAGGAATATAGGGAAACCAAATAAGACATCAGTGTAAAGAAATAATAACAGTACAAAACACAACAAAGCAAAAACAGAAAATCATAAATCAGAGACATCCTGCAGGGGAGGAGGTAGGAGAGGGATCAGGGGGAGAGAGGGAGGAGCACAGGGGACTGAGGTGATGGTGCAAGGGTGCATTGGTGAAGGAAACTCTATGGGAACTACACCTGAGGGGGTGGGGGAAGAAAATATTGTTTAAAAATGAACAATGATGTAAAAAATTTTTTAATTAATTAATAAAAAAATAATTAAAAAAAATTTTTAAAAACCTATTGCGAACCAGAGAACTAATTTATCTTATAGATTTAAAATATTGTACTTATTTTATGCTGTCTCTTCTGAAGCTAATTTTCTAATGCCTTCTTCCACAGTACTGAAATATTTGTGTTTCCTAGGGGTTTTATATAATTCCCTAATCCAATCTAACAAAACATTTCACATTATGGAGGACTAAGAAGGCTAAATAGACAAGCATAAGTGGCTAACGGAACAGCAAAAGCGAACTGACCTGACATATATTAGAAACATCAATTGAAAATCTGTCCCCTTTCTTTTCCTTTTTACTTCTCTTTTTTTGCTTAAAAACACAATTTCATCCAAACTCCAGTGCTTTCTAGGCATTTCAATGTTTTCCATGCCCCTTGCATTGCATACCTAGCACCTCAGTAAACTGTATCAATGGAAAGTTGAGGGTGAAAAGAAAACCTACCTTCACTGAGGTTGTGAGGCCACAATATGTATTTCTCCTACAGGGGTAGATAGGCTTGTGTGCCTCAAGCAAAATCTCCACTTCTTATTCTTTCAACTAAGACTATTTGTAAGCAAAATAATCATCGCTAATGCTGCTTTTAAGGATTCCCACTAATGTGATGGGGGAGGTAGGAAGCAATGGTTAAAATACATTAAACACCCACCTATAGTACTGTGCATGGGGGAAAAAATCATCACTGTTATGAAAATAGTGCCATTATATTTCTGGCTACAAAAAGTAATAAATGTTCATTTCATAAAATTCAGGAGATACAAAGTACAGAAAAGAAAACAAAAATCATTCATATTTCACCATGCAGAGATAATCACTATTAATGTTTTTGTTTATACACTTTTAGACTTTTTTGAAATAAGTCTTTTATATATCAGAGAAAGAATGAATAATTGCATTTAGAGGCAGAACAAACCATCAGTAGCCGTAGGCACTTGGAGGTAACCCAGGTTGATGCAGGAGAGCAAGGGCCATAGAATAAGGTTGACCTGGCTGAAATCTAACATTGCTACCACTGGCCATGACCTTGAGTCAATCTCTAAGCTTCCATTATCCTCATTTACAAAATGGAATTTTGTATAGGGTTGTCATGGAGATAATGAATGCATGCATTTATCACACAGACTTGGTACATGAGAAGTTGACAGTAGATTTAGTGGGCAAGAAACAATAAAGTACATTTTAAACATTGTTGTAAGTCATT